ATGATACTGAAGAGTATTGTTGTGTCTAAAATGAGACAACAAAATAATTCACTTTAAAAGAAGGAAACTGCTGTTGTGAATCATGATACAGTGTTTCATTTAATATTTTCTGCTTTGAATTCAGTAGGCGAGCTGTATTCATTGTATCGAGACATTGGCTACGACTTCCCAGCCAATAGTTATTTCCGTAAAGGAAACCAGAATTAAATACACCACTGGAATCTAATACTTAAAAATAAGAAATAAAATATTAGTATAAAATATTAGAAATACTAACATTATTATTATTATACTAGTATGACCAATTTTTAATTTTTGTTCGCACCCTTCTGTTCTGATACTAATCTGGCTTAACGTGATCATTATTCGATATTTGATTATTCAATATTTTTAACTCATACTATATTATTTCTGTAATTAGTTTGTATTATTTATATTTGTTAATATTATTACTATTTATTTCATTTGACATTTCATATCATCTAATTTAATAACTCACTTGTATTTCGAATTTTATTTTTCTTAATCTGGTATTTGAATTAATTTTTTTAATTTTTATTTGATTTTTGATTATTTGATTTAAATTTTATTTGATTTACTTTTTTTAGCTTATAAATAAATTTTAATTATTGGTCACGCATGATCCTAAGACTTTTCTTGGAACTCTGATTGCATCTTTGTTTATAACTCCAACGAACGTACATGACCAACAAATAATTGTTCTTGATTTGCACCAGAGATTTGTTCCGAGTTCAATTATGCGATAATGATTTTATCTATTGATAACCATACGGCACTCTTCCTTGTAACAAAACCAATTTTAATTATGTTATAACGAATTCCGAATGTTATAACGAATTTTTTACACACTGAAGATAACCATATTAAAAGTCGAAACGTTTGTAAATGTAAATTGTTATTGTTTATATTAGTTATTTTCAATATATAAACAACCTTGACTCGTACAATCCAGTTTTTTGTATTCTTTGACATGTTTTTCGTTGAAAATAGTGAATTTCAACATATATGGTAGTTAAAAACAACTAAAATTATTTAACTTAAGGAATTTGAGTCAAATTTGACTCTAATATCTAACAGTGTACATAAGACTCCCCCCTTAATAAGAATATCATTGCATATTTAAGAATCTCGATGTCGTTAAAGAAACTTCATTTCTAATAGCTTATTATATACTATGCCTGAGCGCGCAAAATGATTTAGTTCTATTTGTGAACTTTAATTTGTAGTATTTGAAAAACTATTATAACTTCTATTTTCGTCTTAGAATATTAAAGAATCTGCTCATAAAAGGAAAAGCAGAAGTTCACAGATATTCTATATAGCAACGACATAACAATTGCTATATAACATACAACCTGATATATTTTATTATTTTTTTATATAACAGATAAATAAAAAAGTAATTTATATGGGCTTAACTACCCGATTATAGAGTATAATATGAAATTACATAATTATAATATAAATTATAATATAAATGATAGTAATATCTTACATTATGTCTTATTTATATCAATAATTAAAGCTCTCAGTTAGAACTCTCAAATCGCTTTTTATTTGTTATTTATGTTAAATAATAATTACATTACATTTGTGAAGAATTAACCTTAATTGAAATATAATTAAATCTCTACAATATAACAATTAATTTATGCACTATGGATAAAACATAAATGATTGTTCTTCAAAATATTTTCCGATTTAAAGTAGTGCGTTATCAATAGTGCGTTATCAATCGATTAAAAATGATTACAAACTTTATTTACCTTTCAAGCCCCATAATATTCGTTGATCTACAGCATTTCGAAATTTATGCAATTCCTTTCCACATATCGTCGAATCAATAAGATCAGCTACTGAAGCAATGGCATAAGCCGGTAGGGTATGAATACGAGCGTCACTAAATTTTTGACTATGAGCAGAGACACTAAATAATGTGATAAAGTTTATTGTACAGATGTACAAAATAAATTGTCGTGGCAACATAATGGGGCTCCAGCAAACAGCAATCACGTTTATTTCTTTTTGTATTGCGATTCAATTAGTATTTTTGACAACCAGCATATTAATTTTAAAATACAGAAAAATCAAGTTGTTTTACTAATA